ATACGTTGAGGGATTACTGAATTTCAGAAAACGGCTTCTTTCGGAGATTTTATTCTCATACAAAAAATTTTAGACCTTGTAATATAGATATTTTTTAGCAAATGAAAACGGTGAGGAAGCTGTGCTGACCTTGCTTGGCGTTTTTTTTTTCAGTAGCGTGGAACTAATTAATGAATTAATTTATTTGGAAAAAAATCGCATAAATCTATCGAATCTGAAAGAAATTAAAAGATAAATGGGCACCATATATTATTCGTGATCACCGAAAACAAAACAAAAATTACATTATTAATTCTAAATTAAGTGATAATAATTTTCAAATCTATGTTTCATCAAACATTACATATTTTTCAACAAACTGAACATTGTAAATACAAAATATTATTATTTTTTTTTAAACTTGAATAATGAAAAAACTATATATAACTTTTGTATGTTTAAACTTGATATACGTCTTTTTTTTTTTAATCTCGAATCTGACCCTGAAAAATCATTGGATCTGAGAATCCAGTGAAACAAGTTATAAAAAGACTAGTTTTTTTTTTTTTCTTTTAACAAGCTGTTCCCCTCGTCCTTCATACAAGAATGAAAACATTGAATACGAAGGGCGTGTGTTGTTCAAATCACAAGGAGGGAAATTTAAATTTAAAAAACTATTTAAAATAATACAATTTTCAACACATAAGAGAAATAAGAATTAGTTTTATAGGTGCCCATTTACACCTTAGTTATAAACTAAACAAAGATACATAATTGTTGATTGATGGTTGCCCTTAGTGAATAATTGAAGAGAAGACTGGCTGGGTAATCAGTCAAAAAAAAAAAGTAAAAATAAATAAGTTATATTTATTTTTGCCGACGTTTCAGCCCAAAGTTCAGGGCTAAGAAAAAATCATATAACAATTTGGTATGAAAAAAGTTAGAAAGAAGCTGAAGTTAGGATACATTAACGGCAACAAAGTTAGGAAATTATGAATAAAATAATAACAGTAACATAGAACTATGAAATAAATAATAACAGCAACAATTAGGGACTAATGAAATAAACATAATCAATTAAGATAACATAAGAAATGGAAAATGAATTAACAACGAAATGTAATGGAATATAGATGAAAAACGAAAATATAGGCATAAAATAAATGGGGCGGCGAAGCTGCTAAAATAGGATGCTTAGTATGATAAAATGAAGTGATATAATCCGTACATATATTATTATAAGGCTCGAAATCGGTTTTGTACCAAATATAAGCTATTGTCATGCTCAAATAACACGAATGGGGTACCGTTGGATTCAGAATTTCACGGGGGGTTAGCGAATCGTATTCTCCACTTTTGTTTTTCTTTCTAAAATAAATAAAGTCGATACGAACATTTTGCTAGGCTTCGATACTGGAACGGTGGTAGGTCTGTAGATCGATACGGGACAAATTGGATCTTAAAGATTTTGATGCGTACAGCAAGACCCGGATAGTTCCTCCGGAACTATTGGATCCTGCGTTTTTAAGCCGAAAAACGTACTATTTTCGAGATAACGCAAGGCATAGGGTTCGCATCCACACAACCTTACATTAATTGTAGTACTGTCATTGAATACATGTCTCATTTCGTCGATTTGAGGTCTCTTTGATCGAGAGGGGGGGAGTTAATATTATTCATCGATGGTGTTTTTGATCGGCAAGCCATATCATCGTTAATTTTTCACCAAATCTCAAGATTGAGCCACCAATTTCGAAGGCTTCCTTCTCCTTCAGGCTGGCAAAATAGTCCAATCACCCAGAAAATTCAGGCAAACAAGTTATCAAAGAAAAAAAACTTTATTTGCGAATTACTGAAAAATTACACACTTTTTCCTTGGTTATGCCCATAATTATATAAAAGATTACTAAATTCATTACAAAAGGAAAAAAAAAATCATCGCAATCAGACTATTTTTATCAAATATACAGCTAACTGAAATTTGTATACATGTTGGTTCCAAACAAAAATGAAGATTAAAAATTATTTTTTGTTTGCTTTGTGGATTATATTTATTGATAAAGTAACATTTGATGTCTTAATCTTTTGATAAGTTGCATTTTCTTATTAATTTGGCATTTGATAACAATATGCTGTGCGAATTTTTCGCACGGGCTTACTAGTCATAGAATAAAATGTAAAACAGAGAGAAGGAACATGAAGTTATATAAGTAAATAATGGATATAAATATAAAAATTAAGATGATGTAAATAACATGTAATGATCAAATGTATCAATATACACAAAATAGAGGCAGAGATATGGAAAGGAAAATAACGGGAAAATTAGAAGAAAACTAAGATAAAAGAAATAGGCCGACTCGGTCGGTCAAAGGAAAGATTTCTGAAAGACAACATTGTTGTGAGAAGAAAATGTAGAACTTACATAGCGCCCTCTGTAACGGTTAATTAAAACGTAGGTCGAAACATCGCCAAAAATAAAAATAAATATACTTTTTTGTTGTTACTGATCATCCCAACCATTTTTCTCTTAAATTATTCACTACAGTTTACCATCAATCCGCAATTTAAATAATAATTTGTAAAGAACTAAAAAAAAAATCTGGTGCGCGCAACACACAACTTTCACTTACTCTTTGAACTTTGAATAAAAATTATTTTCTGGCCATGTTAGGCTATTATAAAATGTTTTAAATTGCATATTAACTGAGCTAAAGCTAAAAAAACACAAATGCTATTAAAATAACAAAAGTCCTATTTATTATATCACCGGTTGATTATGGATTGTACGATTCGTTGATTATGGATTGTTCGATCCATTGATTGTCCATTGATTATACGTATAAGTCATTAAACTGTTATTTTCCATTGAAAAGTTTATTAAAACGGAATTAAGAGATTTGCAGTGTCTGTCATAGACAGGTCAAAAGTTGTCACACTAATTGTAAGTGGATTCTGTTGGAATATCGCAAAAAGAAAATTCTTCATTTTTATTTTTTTTCTCCTTTATTAACTTATCAAATTCTTTCAAAAGTTATATTTAGCATTTTTTCGTAACTCTGAATAATGCAAAATAATTATCTTTTTTAAATAAACCATATTAAAGGTACTTTAGAGGAAAACGTATATGAACATTGGGCATTTAAGCCCTGTAAAGTGACATCAATGGGGATAAGACCTAATTTATATTAAAGACCACTTAATTATACGATGATGCACCGAATTTAATCAAAATCGTTAGAGCCGTTTTTGAGAAAACTGTGAAAATGTGTTTCAGCGTTGATATAAAGCCGATTTTAAGGAAAAAGTTGCCGTCACAACTAAGGCATCTATCTATCTTAAATACGTGATATCAGTTTCATAGGACTTTTCGTTTTTGAGCTAGACTGCTAACATACAACACACAGACCATTTTTCAGAACTTGGTCATTTGACTCAGGGTACCTCAAAACGTATAAATCCGTCGAAAACTCAGATTCAAAAATTTTCTCCGCAATACTTACACTTACTATATATTACATATATACGTAAGTGAAAGTAAAAATATAAATAAAGTCTTGTCAATAATATTTGTAGTTTTAATGTGAGAATAGAAAAAAAAAAAAAGAAAACGTACACATATAAATACATAGAAAGAAAAAACTAAACCTGGAGAAAAGAAAAATCATTGATTAATCCTGAACCAATAGATATATTATAGATCCTAATATGTTTAACTAATCTTTTATTATTAATTTTTATTAAATAATTCAGGATAATTATCCTCAATAATTATCCAGTGGCATCCCGAATAAATTTTAACACCCCAAAAATAACATTTCAGTTCCTTATGGACAATCAGATATCAAATGTTCGTTCTCTTGACCGTAGCCTAGGTCAGGAAAAACTGGCCAAGTGGAAAAGATCTTGAACAGTTAGTTTATTATAAATTATAAGGATAAAGTAAAATTACTTTTAAGTAAAATTAATTTTTTTAAACTTTTTATTAACTTTTTATTATCTTATAAGTAGTCAGTATGTTTTGATAGATTTTACAATATCTCAATTTTTTATTCATATTTATTATTTCCTTATATAACTTCATATTCCTTTTCTCTTTTTTTACATTTTATTCTATGATTATCTTGTTTCCTTTTAGCATACCATTGCATCATATTCTAGCAATTGTCACTCCATTTATTTATTTTTCTTGTTTACACTTACGTTTATTATCTTATACATTTCACCACGTTTCATTATTTATTTCATTAGTCCGTACTTTGTTGCCATTATTATTATTTATTTATTTGTTCTTTGTTACTGTTATTATTCTACCTACGTTATTTTACTTTTATGTTCCCTCTGTCTACTTTATTTTACTTTAAGTTTATTCTTATCAGCTTTTTAATTTCAATTCTTTGTTATTCAATGTTTATAGTTTCTCATACCTATTGTTATCCGTATTTTTCTTAGCCCTGATTAACACCTGAACTTTGGGCCGAAACTTCTACAAAAATAAAAATAAATACAATTATTTATTTTTTTTACTGATCATCTCAACCATTCTTCTCCTCAATTATTCAATACATTCTACCATCAATCCACAATTAAAATTACTTTCATTTTAATTTTATTTTTAAAATAACTTAATAGAATTTTATTATTGTTAATGACAAGAATAAAAAAGTTAACAAACAACTGCTTCCATTAACAAGAAAATAACCAAAATCTGGTTTCACACTCATTCAGTTAGTTTTAGTTTAGAATTTATATCATTAAACATTTATAAGTGTTGAAATATCGTAATAAAATTCAGAGTTTTAAGTTTATGTCAGATTTACTTAAATGTGATAAAAATGATAGTAAGTCACATTTTTATATTAATTTACAAAGTACTGAATCCAAGAACATTCATAGGTTGTAGTGGTCCAGGTTTTATCATTACTTTTTGTTTCTTAATCAAAGAGCATTCAATACGTAAATAATTTGAAGAACATGCTAAAATAAATAATCTATAAATAAATTATTATCTTTTTTTTCAGCGACTGTGATTAAGAAGTGCAAGAATGACAATACACTCAACGATTGCATCCAAAAACAATCAAAAGCTGTGACAAAAGCTCTCGCTAAAGGTAACCAGCTCAATTTCTCTTAATTTGTATCCTCTTCTAACATGTTTCTAATGTAACATAACAAAAAAAAAAAATATATGGTATACACTTCATGGATTGGATAAAACTATCAGATTTAGATAAAATGGTCAGTGTACTATGTATATTTAAAAGTAATTGAAGATTATATGTTGAAAATTCGTGAAATCTCATAATTTAGCACATCTATTCTTTACCCTTATTATTATAATTAAAACAAATCCTGTGGTATCTCCTTTTTAAATATTTTGTAATCAAAGATAACGTAATCTTGTATCGTTTTAGATAAAGATCAAAGAGACTTGTGTAATACAATTTAAATCGTTTAATCAATCAAATTAATTAATATCTGGACAATGTATAAGTTAAATTTAACTATTAGTTTTCATTACTCATTTGACCAATTAAGTAACTTAATTAACGGACTAAACCACTTCATCAATCAATTAATCCACTCAATTTATCAATTAAATTGCTTAATATTTCAGATTGCTTAATTAAATCAGTTAATAAACAAATAACTTAATTAAATTACTTAATCAATTTAATCATTTAACTAATTGAGTTACAAAATTATTTCATTGACTTCCATAATAATAAAACATACAATTTTTTTTTAAATTATTTTACTCCCTACCTTGCCTGTAGACAATACAAGTTTGGCAGAAGTGACATGTCACATTCCATCCCTACTAGAACTCATGCGATTGTTTCGCTTTTTCAAAATTTCACTAGTCACCTCTTTTTAGTTGCTAATTCAAAGTTCTTAAGTTCCAAAAATATTTGGTGGTCTTCCTGAGACTGGTCCTCTTCGCCCTTGATGAAAGGGTATGAAAGAACAGATAGTTATTTGCTGTCATAAGTTGGGGTGCTCTCTTTCTGATAGAGTCTTGTTTCACTCAACAACTTGGCTCTGAGTGCCTCATAGACAGTACAAGCAATGATGACATGCTCGGCAGTCTCTGGTTCACCGCATCTAAGATGTAACAGGTGAATATCCTGGCTGTCCATATCACTGAAGTCTTCATGTCTAGAAATCATCTGAGATACCCTACCTTATTTTGAAATTAAAAAATCCACATCACCACAAAACTGTTTATACTGTTCTTTGAGGGATTCCACTCTCTTCTCTGATCTATATTTTGAAGAATATGGCCAATAGGTGGGTAGAAATACACTTCATAGATAACATATTAAATGTTTATTATATTTAAGCATCAGCATTATCAACTTTAATTGAATTTTTCAGGCGATCCCAAATATGGAGTTCCTGTCGTCGATCCACTGTTCATTCCTAAAATTGAACGGACGGAAGGTGGCGCTAAAAGTGTCTCCATGAACTTAACAATGGAGGATATAAATATCTATGGATTTGGAGATTCTGAAATCATTAAAACAGAGTAAGTAGTAACTAACACTGTATGAAAGATAAATTCTAACAATAATGTTTTTTTAGACTCAGAAGACCTTAAATTGTGTATTTTCATTTTTAAAAAACTGATTTAAAACTAGCCAAGCGTTCAAACCATTGTCCTTATAATGCCCCACATGTTTAGGTCGAAATATAGGCAAACTCGATAAAAATAATTGTTTGACTATGTATCCTTACCATTTTTTATTCTTATTTTATTTATAGAATAGAATAGAATAGAATTGAATTTATTTGTTAAAGATTATTTTACAATCTTGTACGAATGATACATATATCATATACATGATTTGATACATGTATCAAAATAACTTCATTTCACCTACATGAGTCTAGTTTATCATAACTGTACATTGACTTACTATAAAAACAATAACTAAACAATAATACTTCATTACATTCCAATTGATTTCTATCTACATTATCAATAAACCAAAAAAGAAAAAACAAACAAACAATTAATTGAACTAACCAACAATTATCCTTAGTCATAGCACTTGGGTGGTGTGTGGAACATCAGAGCTTAAGGAATCCAGTGAATTGCATGCTGACATTATGAACCAGTAAATTTTATTAAGTTTCTCTATGCTATCGATTCGAAGTATGTCTTGTATCTTGTTTACATCACTTGGATTTTATTTATATATATAGATGAAAACAAAAATACAAGATTGTGTCAATAATTTATTGTACTGGATAATCTTTCTTATAATATGTTAATTGGTTTAAAGTGCAGAGAGAATTTTTTTTTTTAATAATTAAATTTATCTCTGTAGTTGACAAACATAACTTCCTTTTGATTATAGTTTATGATTTTTCTTACGTGCTCTTTATCATTTTGGGAAATGGTCTTTCCATCATCAGGAACATATATGATTTTCAGTTAATGGTTTGTCTTTCAATTATATAATCATATATCAAAATATAATCTGAGAATAAATATTCAGGGGAGCTGGTATAGCAGAGTGGTTAGCATGCTATACTAGTAAATTAAAGATCATAGGATGGAATCCCGGACCTACTTCCCACTACGGCTGGTTCCCGCGGGAAGTTAGACCATTACATATAGTCATAGTTATATGTGTATAGAAGTAAGAACAGACTAGAATAAAAATATATTCAGAAATAACCAAATGTTGGTAAATAATAAAATGAAAAAATAGTTCCTGAAATCTTAATAGTTCTTGATAATTGCTGGAAATTTAATAAAAAACTTTTATACAACAAGGAAATATATAAAAACATATACTTTAAATGCATTAAAATATTAGCTCATTTTAGACTTTCAAGCAAATATATAATTAAAATAACATTCTATAACCAGGTTTTCATAATTAAACTAATTAACCTATACTCCATATGCAATTCTAAAATGCCCAAAAACTGTTCCACTTTATAATTATTTGACTAATGTATAAAGAGAATAAAAATTGGGTAACTTTGCTCGCGTCCATACATTGTAGACGTGCCCTCCGGTTATAACTAAATGAGCAATATTGTTGCCGCGAAGACAGCTCAACATCATAGAATCCACAAAAATATGAATCCATCAAAATTAAGGAAACCAAAAGGCCCAGTCAACACACAGCTTAAGGCTATCTTCAGGAACGCTGGTGGCCTAACTGCTGACAAATTCACAGAATGGAAGACGATTATTACAAAGGAGGATGCTGATTTATATGGGATCGTAGAAGCCGGCTCATCCACTGAAAATATCCAGTTCTACCAATTACCGGGTTATCAAACTTATAAACTGCAGAGATCCAGGCAGGTTGCATCAGGAATAATTGTCGCTGCTAAATCATCCCTCAAGGTAACCTTTTCAATTAAAAAGAAGATGGAAGAAAATGATAAATTGGAGGCTCTACAGTTAGATTATGAAAAGGGATTCATGGGGGAGTTGTATTGGGCTGCCAGGAGCCGAATGGCTTAATAGCCAACGGCAGAGGCGTTTAATAAAAATAAAAAAAAAACTAATGTATAAAGATTGTAGACATTACTATGTACCCAATATTATGCAGTAAAATAGAATCAAGTTTAAGGAACTATTATCATAAAAAAATATTTCAATCCTGAGAAATATTCATTATTATTTAAACAGAATCCTTCAAATTATAGCCTTTATCATAATTAGTTGCTTGGTTACTTTTCTAAATTTAATTAAAAATTAACTATCATAAATATTCAGGATGCAGTCATTACAAGGTTTACACATCATACAAATCTTAAATAATTAGTCAGCGAATTATTTACATTCAGTACCTATTACAGTACTTATTAATTATTACATTATTTACAAACAGAGATGTTTCCTCCCTTCCCCTCTGACTATGTTTACCTACCTTCTTCTATTGGAAAAAGAACATCTGTGAAATTCTCCCCTGACCCCTCACACTTACCTACCAAATGTCTTAGTACTTGAATATCTTCAGAACTCGAACCACGATTAATAAGAGTAAATATTACAATTTTTATAAATAAATTATATACATTATTGGTAGTTTGTATAACTTTCTACATATTTCATTTGTAATATTTGTATTGTAATACTAGTTAAGATTCATATACTATCAATCACTATATTTTTTCATTATTAACCATTATTAGTCATATAATATTATATCTCTGATTGTGTTTAAAAAACTTCAGTCCTGATGATGACCATATGTTTGGGTTGAAACGTCGTCACTAATGAAAACCTTATAATGTCTGGATCCTGAATATTTATCACCCATGATATGTAGAACAGTCGACTAACTTCCTTCAATAAAAATTAACTAAAAGTATATATTTCCTTTTCTAGCGCATCTCTTTAGTATTGTATTTGTTTTTTCATTATTTTTAACATGTATGCAACTATATCCGTAATGTTCATACAACAGAATGTAAATGTATATATTCTTTTTTTTAATTATTTATTTATTCTACATACATGTGTGTAATTTTTTTTAATAAAATTCTATTGTGTGTATATCATTTTTCTTAATAAGCGATTATTGTTTATTTTCATTTATGTTTTATACTCTCTATTTATTTCATCTAGATTATTTATATGCATAAATAATTCTTTATTTGTTTGTAATATAATTAGACTTATAATAAGTTTTTTTTTTGTTCTCCCCTTTCTTGCCTTTTAATCTACAGTTTTTTCCGTGGCTATAGGAAGAGGATGGGGGCAGCAGGATTTGAACTCATAATTATTGTCCATTATATACTTCGGTTATGAGGTTGCCTTGCAACATGTAGTAAGTTATAATAGTAAAAATAATTACTTTATAATTTGTTTGGCAGCTATATTTATTATGTTAATGTGATAAACTCTATTTGTATGGAAACTTTGCCCGAAAACAAATTTAAAAAAAAATTTACATTAACAGGAGCATAATAAAAAAGAGACCAATTAGCAACTGTATATAATATACTACTGGCGATGGAAAGAACTTTTTCTCAAATGTTAAATGGAATATAACAAAAAAAATAAACTATAATCAAAATAAAGATAAATTTTTCAAATAGCTAGTGAAACAAGAAACTTCCTGACCAAAGAAAAAATATGCATTAAAGATTAAATTTACAAATTTAAATATATTTTTTAATGATTTTTCAAACAGATTTGATACATCGAAGAAGTTCCTCAGGCTGGTATTTAAAGTTCCTAAATTGAAAATACTTTCACATTATAATCTGAACGGAAAATTCCTTGTTGTTTCTATGAATGGAAAAGGAAATCTAACAGTTCTTATGGGTAAGGCTCTTTTAAACTTTTTGTTCCATTAAGCATGTTTTTATATCTTATTCATTATCATAGATAAACCATAACATTGAATTATTAATATTTACAATAAATTCTCATTTTTAGACAATGTGAATGTCATTAGCACAGTCTCATATAAACTGGAAAAGAGGAAAGGGGCCGAATATGCAGTTTTCAACCCTACTCCAGATCTCACCTACACAACAACTCATGCATTTTTCAATCTTGAAAATCTTTTCAATGGAGACAAAGCTTTAGGTATTATATTTCTATGTTAATTCATATCTCTCTATTATATCAAAAAGGTTTTAGTGGCTTTCATATTTTATTTTAGTTTTAGGAAAGTAGGAGATAACAGGAGCCCACTCCACTGGGCTCAATAGTGGTACTATTCTAAGGCGATTATTTTATAAATTATACAGCTGCACATTTAATTACATGTCTGTTGAGCTCCTGTTACCTACTGCTCTCCTAATACAAAATAAAGATTTTACACTAAAAATTTCTATGGGAAATGTTATTTCATATATATTCATATGGAGGTGGTAGTTTGATTGTTACCTATGTGACAATAGTTATTCTTCCATCTAGACATTTCTCCTTGAATACAATAAATTAATAATTATATATATGTAAGGTTTAAATAGAAGACTCGATTTTTCTGCTAATATTTTCAGACCATTGAAAAAACAATGTATAATACGGTATATTGTTAAAAAACAGTTTACCTTCTTTTATGAGAAACAAACAATTTCTGCTTTTTCATGTAAAAACATGTAATAATTAAAACTATCTTCCCTACGATAGTAGTGCAAAAACATTAACTATCCTATTTTAGTAATATAGTCCATATTTTATAATAAAAACTATTTTTTTTTTCTTTTCTTATGCCAAAGTCGTTGGTCATTAAGATATCCGACATCTTGCTGCCCAGTATAATTTAGATTTTTTTAATATATAAATTTGAAAAAAATTTTCTCTTATGACTGTCAAGGCAGGACATGTGTCTAGATGGTCTGCACCCATTGTTCCTTGATGACACAATTTACAGGTAGAATCCTCAGCCAGGTCTATCTTTTAGAGATGACTGCAAATAGTCGTGACCATTGACCAGGCGGAAGCAGGCAACTGCATCTCTTCTCAACAGTTCAGCTGGAATCCGATTATCCTTCAAACACTGATAGCGTTTCCGTTCCATCTTGTCCAAGTGTGCTTTTCTAATTTCTTCCTTCACTACCGTCTTTACCATTCGCCGTATTGAATCCTAAGGTTTTGGATGTATCAGCTGAGGCAAATCTGTTCCTCGCTTGGCAAGATTATCAGGCTCAACGTTTTCTGGAATCCCACAATGGCTGGGAATCCACTGTAGAACCACACTGGGGCCTTGGAGTGTCAGGTTAGAGAGGAGGGATTTACACTCCAATATAGCACTCGATAGACATTGATTCATGTTTGTAACAGGGTGGATGGCTGCTTGAGAGTCATTGAAGGGAACAGTGCTCTGTTCCTGCCTTCTAGACAATGTTCTTAAGACTATAAGAATCGCCATTATCTCACCGTCAAAATTTGTTCCATCTTTACCCACCGCAGCGCTGATTTGGAATTCCCTGGACTAAATCCCTACTCCAGCATTTTTAATGGCTGATTCAGCTGATCCGTCGGTATAGATATGGAGCCAATCTTGAGGAGGGTACTTTTGATCTATAGTTTCTAGTTAGTGCTAATGCTTTTAGCTCATATTGAGGTGTTTCTTTCTTATAAGCCTTAAGAAGGAGTTGCAGTTCTGCATTGCATGCATGATTGTGAATTGGTAACTGTGGATGTATAAATGGTTCCCTTTCTTCGCAGTCAAGCTCTCTTTCTTCAAGTAGAGCCATTGCCTTCAACATGAAGGATTTTTGTATCTTGAGCCATTTAGTTATAAAAACTAAAATTATTAATTAAATAAATTTTTATTACTTTTCCTAATAAAGGAAATAAATTATTTTAATGTTTTTAAGGTGATGCTACAAATAAGATGATAAATGAAAACTGGGAGGAGTTCAACAAGGAACTGGGTCCAGGCGTCGCCCTCGCTATTGGTAAAGTCTACGGATTCATTATATCAAAACTGGCAAACTCCATGCCCTTCAAAGATTTATTCCTGTGAAAGTCTTCGTGTTTTCAAAGAAAACTTCATCCATTCAAAAGTTCTTTGTTTTTTGTCAATTCAAACTGGAAATATTCATTTATGAAGTCACAGTATCAATTTTCAGTATGCATCTATTGTTAAAAAATAAAGTAATGTTTTATATTAATTTTTATTATAAATTTTATAAGATATCACCCATAAACAAATATGGAATAAAACAACATCAAATCAATCGATTCAACATTTAATCAAAAGTCAATTAGATGGTATTTAACAGTACAGAATGATTCCACAAAATATTCAAAAATGTTTTATAAGTAATATTGAATGGGATAAGTCCTTACTGTTTTCAACAGAAAAAAAAATATATCTTGGTTAAGGTATCTTTAATTTACAATTTTATTTCAAACACAAAAATTAACATATACATTTTTTTCTTAATTATAAATCCAAACTGCAATAAAGTTAATTTTGATCAATCTGTTGATTAAAAAATATATAATCATAATAATATAAGGATATAATCAGTACTTACAAGCACTAGTGGATCCAGGATTTAATTTTGGGGAGGCTTCAGCCCGAAAGCTTTTTTTTCATAAAAATGACGATAATTACTTTGGAAAAAAAGAAAGAAACTAACTATCTATATGAAATGGTGTTTAAGTGATTCCTTAAGTCCTTTTAAATGTAATTACACGAACAATAATATTTTAAGAGATAATTTTTTAATATATTTTTTCATAAAACATGGTTATATTTTACCATTTTGGGAGGGAGAGGCTTCAGCCTGAAAGCTCCTCCCACTCCCCTCCTTTATGTGACATTGTGTGAGGGAATGAGATGGAATATATAGGAATGTGAGGTTGCACGATGAATTGTACTCAATTATGCAGTGGACAAATTATTCATGGAAAAGTCTCATATCAATAAACAATCGATGAAGAAGGATGCTGAAAGAAGGACAGAGCAGGTAGCAATAGCTGGAGAAGGATGCCAGGGAGAGAAGTGGGCACTTGAGGTAGAGACATGAAGGTGAGAGGACTTGAGGCTGAGACACTGAGGCGAGAGAACTGAAGGCTGGGACAGAAAGACACGAGGTTGTCAGAAGAGAGAGGCAGGACATTGAAGACTAAGAATATCAAGCCTACAGTTATAAGACTTTAATATATTAATTTATTATCAGTTGTTAAAATAAATTGTTTTATTAGGCAGGAGTGAATAGTCCTTTTATTTAGTTGTCCTATAGGCCTCACAATTGAAACAATTGTAAAACAAGAATAATAAACAAGGTGAGGCAATTCATTCAAAGTGTATTTACTCAATCCCACATTATATATATATATATATATATATATGTTCTTATTGTTTCTTGTCACTGAGTGTCACAAAAGGTATTAGATTCCCGAATTCCCAACGACAGTTAAACACCCTCAAAAAGTCTATATCCAGTGCCGGGGTTTTAATATTCACGAGTGTAAATAACCTAGTTCCCTGATATAAAAGCGGAAGGCTATTCGCAATTCCTGCCAAAACAAATTATTTACATTTAAATTCTAACATGTTTTTACAATTATATATCAATCGAGTTTTTTTTTTTTCTGTGCAGAATAAGAAAAAAAGTATTGACTATAGTATAAAATGAGTAATATGCATCATAAATTTTTGTTATGAAAAAGCAAGTAGAATTTGTTTTTAGTATCATTTGTAACTCTTAAATTCAATTTTTTATGAAAATTAAAAATTTCGAAAGTTAATACTTGATATATTGCTTCTTCTTCTTAGAACATTTTTTTTTTAGACGATAACTAAATTGTTGTTAAGATAACTAAGTATCTTGAATATTTTTTGAGCAATTGATTCTTGTTCCATAAAAAACGTGATGACCTTAAGGGAAACAGAAAATTGGTCTTAACTCCTTTTCCGTTCAGAATTAGCCCATACATCAAATGAACTTTTTTGTTGGAGATTTTGTCTGGAATGACCCCAAACTTTGGCAATTAAGAACTGAGACATCCTGGATGAGGTGAATAGGATTGTATTGAATGATATTAAATTAATAAAAACACTTTATTGTTTGTGATTAAAAAGATGATTTTAAAGGATGTTTTCGGCTAATGCATACAATTAAAGATTTAATAAATATTTCCACTTCACTATTTAGACGAATTAATTTAAACTAACTGTCACTTTTTTTTTGTTGTAAAAACTCATTAATTAAATCACTAATCTCTTCAGTAAATTTTCTCTCTGTAAAATCAGAACATCATGTAGTTAGTGTAACTACATTTGTTATGCAAAAGATATAAAACTAATAAAAGATCCATAACTAAAGTGGACATTTATATGAATAAACATCAAAGTTATGCTTCATCAAAAATTTACTTGATGATGTTTCTTGATAAGCTAACAAAATATTAAGTACTAGCTGATGTTCCGTGTATAGTTAAAATTTGAGAATCTTTTTTTGAGATGGATTTTGTATTATGGGAAGGAAGAGTCCAAATTCAATTTCTAAAAATTTGGTCGGGAGGAGGAAGGAGAGTTGTTTTGAAATTTTTTATGACGTGGCTTATGGAAGTCAAGGTTTGGTCGTAACAAATAAATAATAAATAGTCATAACAAACACTTTGTTATTCAGCTATTTGTTTAGGTGCCACACAACTAAACCGACCACTACCGATCTATTAAAATTTGTGTTTAATTTTCATTCATGATGAAGCAAGGAGATTGTGGAGTCGATTAATTAATCAAAAAGAGTTGTAGTCTGTCCACTTCTTTAAACTCCGCTGACTTTATCGCTGTCAAAATAACCAAAATAACATTGGACATAGTCACCTACATCGGTATAAAATTAGAACTTGTTCTGAATATTGTGGCGGGCAAAGTGAAATTTATGGAAGTTTTTTTTCCTGATTTCCGGCTATTCCGTTTGGTTAATCCTAAAAATGTATAAGAACACATTTGTTAGGCTCGGGAAGTTGAATCAAATTACACCTTGAACGGAAAGAATGAAATTGAAAAATGAGTGTTTTTTACCCGGTTTATGCGACAACGCGTTACAAATGTTCAGTATTCCGGATTTTTCCCGTTGAGTTGTGATAATTTTTTCCATCAGTCAAATAGTAAAACTTCTAAACGTCACTCATGATAGAGTAATTTGGGAAGTAAGTAACTGCATAACGGGGATCTGTAGACAAATTACTCAAAAATTCATAACTTTGGTTCAACTCTATAATTTGTTTTCATTTAAAGCCTATATTTTAAGTCAAGCACACCTAAATATAATGTCAAAATTTCAAAAGTCTACCATTAGCCATTGCCGAGCTTACCTCTGATGAAATTTCATTGGACAATGCGGACATTCAGACAGACAAACATTTTAAAAGTGGATTTGGTGTCTGTAATGTATGGAACGGAAAGATGTCATGAAACGGGTTGATTCTATTCAATGTGCAGACAAAAACTTTATTTTATTTATATAGATGATCTTTAACCTATAAACATATGTTTATTATTAACATTTATTATCAATATTAACCGAGATCTCTAGACAAATTACTCAAGAATTCATAACTTTGGCTCTGCTCAATATTTAGTTTTCATTTAAAGCCTATGTTTTAAGTCAAGCAAACCTTAATATAATGTCAAAATTTTAAAAGTCTACAATAAGCTATTGCTGAGCTTAACCCTGACAAAATTTCGTTGCAATACGGACATACAGACAGACAAACATTTTTTTAAAAGTGGATTTGGTGTCTGCAATGTATGAAATGGAAAGATATCATAAAACGGGTTGATTCTATTCAATGAACAGACAAAATCTTTATTTTATTTATATAGATATAAGAAATAATGTATATTTAAATATGGTAGTGAAGACAACTTTTTTTTTGTAATTGTAAAAGAAAACAACAAACATTTAACAAATTGCTTTAAAAAATAACACTAATGTTGGTGCAAGAGATTGTCTGTAACAATTTTACATGTTTATTCTATTTTTGTTAAAGTTGATATTTTGTAGCCTGCTCATGCAATAAGCAGTCTGCTACTATTGGAAATAGCAGAGGGATATAAAATATGAAATTATACTGATAAATTATAAAGAAATATTCAATTTTTATGCTCTTCTGTAAACAAAATTTTAAATACGACTTTTTGCACTAACAGTAGCATAATATATATTTTCACTAAAATAAGATACAGTGCCTAATGTACAATAGTCTATGTGAACAAGTGATATATATGGATAATATAAGGTAAACAGAATTGAATCTCAGTAAGTGAGATTTCATATAATTTAATCACAGAACACTCTGATGAATTCTATCTCTGTAAAATCAGAACATTATACAATTAGTGTAACAAAATTTGACATAAAAAACAGTTTATGTCATTTTGATGAAGTTACTGTGTTTTATATCTATGAATAAGGTGAAAATTCACAAAAATGAACATCAAAGTTAAACTTCATAAAAATGTACTTGAAGACGTTTTCAGATTAGCCAAAAACATATTAAATACATAAGAAATAATTATATATAAATCTGATTGTGAAGACACATTTTTTTTTATTGTAAAAGATAACACATATTTAACATATTGCTTTAAAAAAAAATAATAATGTGGAAATCTCTGTTTTGTTGTTCTTCTACTAATTACTTAAGGAATAATGCACTATAAGGCGTACTTCGAAGTACGTTGTCCATTGTGTCGGTGTACACTTCACAAAGGGCCAATTTAATACCTTTACTCATCTGCCTGTCGAATTCTTGCCAGTTCTCATTCATCATCTTATTCGTTGCCTCACCTATAAAATTTTAAAATAGACCAATTTTTTAGTATTTCTAATATGTATCAATTTTCATTATATTTTAGTCTTATTGATAGAAAGATTAATATGATTTTTACAATAAAATAGTATACATTGGTTAAATTAGCATTTGACATAAACATACAGGTATTTGTAAGAATGACCAATTCCAAGAAATCAAACTTATTGAAGTAGGCTTTTAAGGAACCAGTATAATTTTTTAGTTATTAAAAAACAAATAGTTTTTCTTAAATTATTTAACTAAATTATTTTAAACTAGCTTCACCTGGTCACGTGTTGCTGAGGCTCATTCTGCTGGAATAGAAAAAGAAATAAAAAATCTGGTGCGCGCAACACACAACTTTCACTTACCTCTCTACAAGTCATTAAGATCATTATAATGACAAAATGTCTATTTAATATATCGACGGTAGGCAATAAAAATTTATTCACTCCATCTGCTTTTATAAACCACACAACTTTCTTTGCTTTTACAAACCACAGAATGACTAACTCCAATTTCAACATTTTTGAGTAATGTCAATTTAGTAGTATTTTTAGTTGAAAAAGTTATCTACGCAGACAGTGAGTAAGTTGATTCCGGAGGAGGTGATTGCAGTGTTAAAATATAGAACTGAGAATAAAGGTATAAATTTAGGTACTTATTTCTTATGAAAGGGTTTCTAATTTGTTTTTATAATTCAGAAATGCATCTAATTTATGTAAACCCCTAATTGTTTTATCTATACTTCTTTCTTGTTTAATTTTTACTTTCTCTTGTCTATATATGTACTTGTCATAGTAAGGCACAGTATTGTGATTGTGAAAATTTTCAAATCTGAGTTTTCATCGGATATACATGTTTTGAGGCCTCCAGAGTCCAAATAACCAAGTTCTGCAAAATGGTGTGTGTGTGTGTTCTTGTGTCTGTGTATATGGGTGTGACAGGTCTAGCTCAAAAATAAAAAATCATATGAAAGTGAAATTGCATATTTAATGTTTACAAATACCTCAGATGTTACAGCAACCTTTTTGTCAAAATCGGATAACCGGAAGTGGCACTTTATATCATCAATGAAACACATTTTTACTATTTTCTCGAAAAACGGCTCCAACGATTTTGATTAAATTCATTATATCAGTATAAAATTAAGCATTTTAAAATATTATGTAGGTTTTATTCTCATTGATGTTCTCTAACAGGACTTAAATGGCTAATTTTCAATATTAGCTACCTCTAAAGTACATTTAATTTTTTTTTATTTGAAACAATTAACCATTTCACATTTATCTCTAATACAAAAAATAGTTAAATGTAAAATATGAAACAATTTGACATTTAACTAAAGGAGAAATAAGGGATCGTAACAGAGAATACTTGTAATTGAGGAACCAAAGGGATACGAGCGGGCTCGAGCTCACCCGAAAGATTAGAACAGGCTTCCATAGTAACATGAACTTAATATAATACGGACTCCGACAATATTATATACATATACAAATGCGGTTTTCATAAATGTTTTTGTTGTTGTTATTTAATATTTGATTGTATAGATTACAGCAATATAAATATTAAAATTTGTATACATAAGGGTACTTAAACAAATAAAAATACCCACAATACCACTACTACTAACTTTGTCTGAAAATAATTATTTCTGCTAAGAGGGTGGTAAGTGAAAGTTGTGTGATGTGTGCACCGCACTAGATTTCTTTATTTTTACTATCTATTTAAAATGAAATGAAAAAAAAAAATTACTTTAAGTCTAAATTCTGCTAAGAATAACCACATTTTTCAGAAATTATGCACATCAGTGAACTGGCAAGGAGAGGTATAAAACGGTACTTTTTAAATAATTGGTAGTATTAATTGTAATTACAGAAATTGATAATGCTTACATAGATGTGGTAGTTTGAATGGGAAGTAGGTGGTGGAATAGAAGTTGTTTACAGGAATTGGTGGACAAGGATTGAATTATGGAGATAGGAAAAGTGTTACATATATGGATAAACGATTGACAAAAGATATGCTGAAGGGAGTGGTTATATGAGATGGGATAAATAGATCAATGATCAATAAGGTGAGATCTATTATTTAGAGGATGGATGGAGGAACACAAGAAGAGCACGTATGGATCTACGGGAGGGGGCTTTCGGGCTGAAGCCCCCCCCAAAATGGAAAAATATAACCATGTTTTATCGAACAAAATATTAAAAAAGTATCTCTTAAAGTATTATTGTTCGTGTGATTAATATTAAAAGGGCTTTAGGAATCACTTAAACACCATTTCATACAGGTAGTTAGTTTCTTTCTTTTTTTTCCAAAGTAATTATCGTTATTTTTATGAAAAAAAAGCTTTCTGGCTGAAGCCCTCCTCCCCCCCAAAATTAAATCCTGGATCCGCTAGTGAAGAAGACTAAGGAGTTCTAGGATGTAGGGAAGTTTTTTGGGTTGTGAGGACTTGGAAAACGAAAACACCATGAAGAAATTGCCGTCGGGAATTAGGATAGAGCCATTTGAACTCGGTATTTCTTCAATAAGTTTCTTCAATCTCATCTTCAGTCTTGCAATCAGCCTTCCATGCACCAAGCAACTATAATAGAATTGAGAGAAAACAAGAGAGGTTTCATTCTTTTCTTTTGAGATACAAAATTGTTCAAGGACAGTTATGGATTTTGGTTTAATCTGGAAAATATAGTCATTCCAGGAGAGGTTCTGATCAAATAAACTCCTAGACTTTGATTATAAGGAGATAATTAATAGGTCAATTATTGAAATAAAGCGAAAGGATTATTGAGATAAAAAGGAAGGAAAGTAATGAGGCACCTGGAACCGATGAGAAAAACCATGGTTTTTTTCAGTGTTCACCCTCAATTCATAGTTTTCTGCCATCTATTGATACAGTTGATATCTTCTTAAAGCTTTCAAGTATCCCAGGAATTTCGGAAGGTTGAAACGATTGATATATTTGGAAATCATCAATACATACATAATTAGTAATGGGAATGATGAATGGAATACAGAAAATAGTTAATATAAATAGAGAAAAGGGTTGGAGAGAGTGATTAACCCTGAGGAACACCTGTTGTTAATTCAAGATATGAATAAAGAGATTTATTAAGAATGATGACTGTCGTGTGCAATAGGATATTAAGGAGAGGAACCATTTTGAAATTTCTATCTATATCTTTGTTGTGGTTTATATTTCTGATATAATTTTTATTTTTACTCCCGTTAAAGATGACCCACATCCTTGGATCGAAACATCGGCAATTAGAAAATAAATAAAAATTATGATCATACTTTCCTAGAAAATATAAACATGTAAATTTCAAATTTAGTTAATTAAATGAATAATGCCAAATGTCCCTTTTAAAACATGAAAAACTATTCAAAATGATACAATTAGTAACAGTTTAACTGGATTGCGTAGGATTTTTTCTTGGAAGGAACGGGTAGAACCTAACCTCGGGATTGTCAATATCTTCAACAAATAATGCTTAATTTAAGATAATTAATTAAATAATTGTTGATTGTAGCAGAAATATTGGTGAGAAGTTGGTCGGTGTTTTCAGTCTGTTAAAATACAAAGTAAAAATGAATAAATTATATTTATTTTTATTTCCATTGTGACGGTGTTTTAGCTTCAGTTTCAGGCCCGATTGTCTTTGCTTAGACCTGATGAAGGCCAAATGTTAAATTTTTAATTTCTATTTTCACTGACTGAAAACACCAACCAAATTCTCTTCAATGCTTAATTTAAATTAAAACATATTACAAACCTAAGGCTTTGTTTCCATTGAAAAGATTTTCAAAATTGAATGTCATTTTCTTGGGTACTACACTTAAGTATGCAGGTCGGACTGAAGTGATATAATCAACTCCCTTCTTCTGAACTGGTTTAAATTTGTATATATAGACTGACGTCAGATCATCTAATAGAACAGATAAAGTAATCATATAAAAAATTAAACATTATTTTCAGCAGAAAACTAATTATAATAGACTTACCTAATGTAATCGTCGTTTTTCCTTTACCATTAACTGGAACGACTAGAAATTTACCTTCTAAAATATAATCTGCAATGAGTTTGACTTGTGGATGATGCACTGTTAACTTGAATTGTTTCTTTGAACTGTCCATTCTATGAGAGATAATAAATGTAAAATTAGTACAAACCAGAATACAACCGACTGGCTCTATCTTCAAACAGACATTCAAGATCCTCCTTTAGGCAATAAAGGTTGCATTCATGGCTCTAGTGGTCCCAATAAGAAAACTAAATTAAGAAAATACCAAATTCATGATATTGGGTCAGAGACCCAACCGGACGGAAAGGACCAGCATAGCAACTTATACTCTTGAGAAAGTTGACAAATTCATCTATCTCGGCTCACAGGTGAATGTTAACAATAAAAGGACAGCTGAGATAAGAAGAACAGTTCTAGCGAAGCAAAACTTTTTTGCATTAGGACACACCTTCAGAAACCATTTCACCGTGACTACTAAGCTAAGGCTGTATGAAGCTTTGATCCATTCAGTCTTGGTATATGGTTCTAAGTCTGAGCAAAGGATATTGTTGTTTAAAAAGAAAGTTTTACAATGAATAAATAGTTCAGTAGGTGAAAATTTGAGACAATGAGTATCTTAGAGCTCTACCTGCTCACTAAGTAGATGTACGTACATCATGAGTCAGTCCTATAGGGAGGCTAAAATAGAGAACAGTCATGTTGTCGGGAAGACTGTATAAAGTGCAAGTATTAGAAGAAAAAAAACCAAGGTGGAGAGAAGTAGAGAAAAATTATATTATTCAAGAATTATAATTATTAGAAGGAGTTGATCGGGGAGGAGGGGGGGTGCAGTCAAATTAATACAAAATTGAACAGGTAGAATTATTTAATTTTTGCCGACATTTTGACCCACTTTGCAGGTCTTCATCAGGGCTACAAAAGATACAAAACATGGTGAAAATAAAATAAATGAATATAAGTAGATATAAAATAAGAATAAGTTGTCTGATACAGAAATAAAAAGATGATTTCAGAGATATACTGTGTGACGATGTAGTTAAAATATCAAGTATTATATGTAGAAGATACAAACAAAAATTCATACATTCATTTATTTTATTTTCACCATGTTTTGTATCTGTTGTAGCCCTGATGAAGACCTGCAAAGTGGGTTGAAATGTCGGCAAAAATTAAATAATTCTACTGAATATTTAATGGTTGACCGTTGCATTATAAAGGAAGGAGATGGTCCGGGGTTGCGGTCATAAAAAGGCTAAATAGTGGTAAAACTATTTTATTGAAAGCCAACGTTTCGACCTGCTGATGAAGACCTGCAAAGTCGGGTCGAAACGTTAAATAATTCTACCTGTTTAATTTTGTATTAATTTGACCGCACCTCCCGATCAACTCCTTCTCATATTACATCAGCGGTCAACCATCTCTTCTACATAATTATAATTATTGTTGATTGTAAAAATTTTGTTCAGGATATGATTTTTATCACTTATAATAAAAAATAAAAATTGATCTTAATAAAAATCATTAAATAATTTTTAAAAATTACAGATAAACATTTTGATCATATTTGATTTTGAATTTCAAACCCCGATCACAAGTGATGCAAGAAATCTGGTTGGTTTACAGAATCAGATTGCAGCCCAGCAGAATAGGGAGAGATCCTGACTCATTAAGTGAGTTGTTGCATTCCTATTATTATTGTATGCGTTGATAAAATAAAATAAAAAGAATAAAAATAAAAATGTAAAAACAAAATATCAATTGAATAATATAAATTATAGTTAAGTAACAATAATCCATTCATTCAATAATAAAATAACCATAAATTAAATACCAACTCTGCTTTGACAATTTCTGCACCCGCGTTACCATAGATATTAATATTCTCCAATGTTAAGTTCATAGAGACACTCTTTGATCCGCCCTCAGACTGCACAATTTTAGGAATGTGCAACGGGTCCAAGCTTGGTATACCATACTTAGGATTACCTTAAAGATAAAATTTACAACTTATAATTAATTAGTTTTAACTGACATTATATTTAGTTTGTTGTAATTGAATTATTTATTTATCATATTTAAACTGACTAAGTATTATTTGAAGTAACTAAAAAGCTATAAGTTAGAATTATTAGCTCTGAAAGACTGTTTGGCATCAATACGACAAAAAATGTAACATATAGAATTACATCTTTGTCTTAGGCACGCAAAAAATATTGAAGCGAAAATATAATGCTCAGAAAACAAAAATTACACAGATTTTTTTTTCGTCTGCTGAAAATTTTTAATTTTCGTTCTTACAGGCGTTTGTAGTGTGGCTGTCGATATTTGGAATCAGTTTTTCAACTTCCAGCTATTTATTTGAATTATCTATTAAATAATTATTTGAATCTGTAATATATACAGTATGACTGTTCAAGTTGTTAAACTAATTGTAAATATGAGATGGAGTTTATTTAAAATTAAGTTTGAATTTAAGTGTTAAAACAAACTAAAGTTTATGACTTATTCTATCTATCGGCCATATTTTTATAAATTTCTATAGTAAATAGCTTTATTTGAATAAAAATATTACAAGAATAATGCATAATAATAATGTATATAAAATTTTACTATTTCTCAACTTTTATTTTTCTGATTACTTTTTAATACTATAACAAATAAGGAAACCATATTGACATAAATGTATTATTTAATACTACTTTTAATTGCAAATAGTATAATAATGTTTATTTTTATTTTAAATCACTATTTAATAATTTGATGACTTAAAGTAATTGTACTATTTTATGTGATGGACTGAATTAGAAGGCTGATCTTTTTCTCTGAAAATTCATTATTCAATATCTTTATTAGCATCCTTTGAAAGAATAAGAAATATTAATGTTCTACAACATTTTGAAAAATATTGTAGGTGCAACGTAAATTAACTTATATATTTTTTTGAGTATTAATGTATATATTTTAGATAATTGTTTAGGACTCTTTGACATTTGTTTTGAAATACTTTTGAAGTTGCTTGAATTATTAAAGCTTTTCTATTTGCCAAGCATAAAGTAAATTAAGAAGAACATATTGACATTACCTTTGGCAACTGCTTTGATAACATCTTGGGATTGCTTAATGACACATTCGTTTAGTGAACCATCATTCTTACATGGCTTGACTGGAGATGCTGTAAAATGAATAAATTATTGGAAAATATTTCTATATGTTCCATTAAAGTCTGAAATTCAGACATTTGATTGAACTGCACACAATAAACCTAAAGTATATATAAATTGTTAAAAACACTTGTTTTCTCTCATTATTATTTATCCATAACAGCTAATAATCAGAGGATATTAATATTAGGCCTTTTAACAATTAATGGGTATCTTACCATGATAAATTTTATGAATGAAATTGAAAATAAAATGAAAAAATAATTTTATTCTGGGACTCCGAGTTGTCGACCATATATCCTCAGCCCTAGAAAAGAAACAATACTGTTCGGGTGCATTTCTGGAAATAGCATAGGCTTTTGAATGGTTATGACACGCTGGAATGCTCTTCAAGCTTAAATCCCATCTACCGCAGTCTTTATCTAATAATCCGATCCTACCTTTCAACACCTGACTGATTCTCCGACTGTTATTTAATTGAGTCGGGAGTTCCACAGGGCAGCGTCTTGTGTCCCATCCTTTGCATGATCTCTGTCAGGCACCACCCATCCCTATAAGCCTCCAAGAAGGTTGAAATGGCAGTGGCCACACGATCTTCTGTAGATTGTATATATAGGAGTTCTGGCAATATCCAGAATCCACTAAAGCCATGAATGTATATGATTAAAGTGCTCTCGATCAATCTCTGCTGGCTTTAGTACCAGATATGCGGTTGAGAGATAAGCGCAGGGTTCTCCTGGAGTCCTACTTTTCCCTTCATAGCTGAAGGGACAACCCCACCTCGGAATTGCCTCGCCTGATTGTGGATGGTGTATATAGGTATGCATGTACTTTTGCTTTGTTTTATTTTCTTATTTTTAAGTTATTTTATTTTATTTATTGTATATACTTTTTGATTATTATGTATTGTTATTGTACTTCTATTTATTTTATATTTTTCTGTACATATAATATGAATGTTATTTTACCTCACTATAACTAATGTCCAAGTGATGGATTGATGTAATACTCAATAAATAAATGAAGAAAAAAATGGGACTACTTTCTTACATCATACAGCTTTTTCTTTGTGACTTTAAACAAAATCCTATTTCAAAGTCACATTTTCAAAATTTTAGAAAGAAAAATAATATTAAGAAAACTGACAATCGAAGCTAAAGTTTATCATTTAGGAAATATATACTAGTGGTGTGGTGTTTAGTAGCAATCTGTTTAATTTAAACAGTCTCTTTTATTAAGCAGATACAGTAAACTGTTTCAATCGAGATTAAACAGATACAAGGATTAACTTGCATTAGGAAGGAGCAGGTTCTTATTATCACCGTTGAATTCATCGATGGAATCAAATAGATCTCTAAACTGAAGAAAACGATGCCATGATGGATTCAGCGGTGAGTTTAGGAACTTAGCAAGTCTCACAGTACAGGCTTAGCAGGTGGAGACAACGATAGTGACGGAAAACACTGAAACTGTTTACTTACAGCTTTCCAAAACATATAAAGAAACCTGTTTCATTAAACAGCTTCCTGCAACAAATAAAAAAAACAGTTCTCTGAAACAGATACAGCCCTTTGAAACAGATACAGGTTGTATTTTAAACTGTTTGTTTGTATTTTCATGTTGTATTTTAAACTGTTTTGATAGTTGTTCTAATGATACACCGGCCATTGCAATGTTGCAACTTATAAAGAGCTATACAGTTTTTGTTTCACAGTTTCATCAACTCATTTACCTATCTCCTTGGAATCCTCATACCAGACTGCAACGACAAGAAACCGCTCGACGTTCCCGATTACTTCAGCACTTGCTAGAAAAACGCTCTAAGCTTCCAATTAATTACAAAAGACGCATATACATGACTATAATAAGACCTATTTGGACTTACGGAGTTGAGCTATGGTGCTTCACTAAACCATCGAATTCCTCTCGTATCCAATCCTTACAATCCAAAATCCTCAATGCTACCTAATTTGTTATAAATAAAACCATCCATAACGACCTTAATGTTTCTAATGTATCAGATCTAACCCAATCCAGATACCTATCCTTCCATAATAAACTTCAGAATCATCCCAACCTTTCTTCCTCTTCAATTTCTAATAAACCTCCGAGGCGTCTGAAAAGAAGATGGCCCCGTGATCTCCTAATGTAGATATATTATTAGAGTGCTACCATTTTATAGTTTCTCAACGAGTGTTTTAACGTCATTATATCAATATGTTCAAATTTACGAAATGTTTTTCTTTAATACAGTTGTAAATGTCATTAGGAAATAAAAAATAAATATAAAATTTTCCTATCTAATTACTAGTTTCTCGTAATTTTCATCAATAAAATTACTTATTATTTTAAAAATTTGTATCGGTTTAGTTTAACAATTAAATCGATAATTACTTTTAAGATAAAAATTATATTCATATCTTTCAACATAGTGTAAACGTAACAGAAGACATCATTTTTTTTTTTTACTCGAAAAACTTGTATCTGTTTTTCGAAAGTAGAAGAAACTCTTGCAACTGCTACTCATTGTATGTTTATGAGTTTATATTAGTTTTAGATAAATTTTTCTTCAAAAAGTTAATATTTTTTTTAACCAGAAACGCTAAATGGTAAAATATTATAAGAATGATCCATGTAAGTTCTTACATCTCACATTAAATGTCGGCACGTGTCGAGAAAAAAAGGTAAAAGATTTATCTCTACAACAATTATTCTTCTTAGAATTAGCATTATTAAAAATAAAATGAAGGTCAACCACAAAAATAATTTCCAGAATGAATGATTACTGAAATCAGATAACTCTAGATCATTAGATGAGATTACATCCTTATTTGTTTAAGTTTACATTCTTTGTTAATAATAGATATATTGGGTTGGAAAATAGATCCTTTCGGTTATTCTGTTTATTTTTATGTCACTATGATACACTTCTTATCTGATGAATTAATGCATAAGGTGGATTGTTTATTCTGTTTGTAATGTGTCAAATATATCTGTTAACGCTTAGTATTGTGTTTGCTATTGCAATGTGAATATAGAAGAAAATATCATTCATTATGGGCATATTATGTATGGTGATATTTCCATAACTGAACGCGTCTGTCAAAATTGGTTTGTCAAATTTCATTCAGGAAATTTTGACTTCAATGATGCTCAATGGTCTGGTGGTCCACATGAAATTGAAAAGAGCAATATTAAGGCTATTGTTGATCAAAATCTTACCTAATCAGAGCGAGAGATTACTATGGCCTTAAATGTGTCGCAAACAAGCGTAGAAAACTATGTTTCTAGGCTTAATGTTTGGGTCACAAATAATGTTATAACTTCAATGGGACTTCAGCTATCAATAAGAAATTTAGAAGGAATTTAGGGCCACACAAACTACACAAAATGACATCAAAAGGACCTTTGTATACAAACTACAAATGGTGATAAAAAATAAAAATCTCTAAGAAGTTTTTGTTTATTTATTCCTTATGTAGACATTAAATAAAAAACCCATTAATATGGTTTTGAAGAGAAATAATTGAGCTTTCCAATGGATATAATAACATCGAATTTGGAGAACCTGAAGAGTTATGAGGGAAGGATGTTGTGTTCCACCAAGACAACGCTAGACCCCACACCTCATTGGTCAACTTTATCACGTGGAAATGGATAAATACACATGAGAGGTCATTAGATCTTAAAATCCTACTAATGCTTCTATATAATCATCACTGAATATAAATATAAATTTAAATAATAGGAATATTTACGTCATGATAAAATAGCCTATTTATAGGCCTTGGTTTTGTCAGCTAGTCGAATTATCTTAATCAATTTTAGTTTACATATTTTATTCATTTATGTATCTTATAATTATTTTTTTTTTTACTTCATATTATTGGAGGGAGGAATGATATTCTAGCCTTTCAATATTTTTATTGAGGGAGGAGCACAAACGGATCAAAGATTTAATTTTGGCGGGGTAGGGAGCTTCAGACCGAAATATATATATTCATCACTTAGTATTCATCACATGTTTTAGTTACAATAGTCTATGTTAAAGATAAGATAGTCCATGTTTCATGAAATTATTAACATCCGCCTTAAACATCGTAAATAGCTTCATCTCATCGTAACCTAAAAATATTATATTTGCGAAAACACTCGGAATTGGGGCGTATTCAATCCTGAGATTAGCAAACTTTTTCTATTTAAATAGGTACAAAAAACTCGTAAATACTCATTAGTTTTCTAGTTGAATCATAAAATGAATTGATCAGAAATTCAAAAAATGAAGGTGGCCTCCAAAAATATTGAACCGTTTAGTCTGAGCCCACCCAAAACAACCCAATATTTTTTAGTCCGCCTTTTTTTCAACTTTGTGCTCATAATATCTAACGATTCAAGCGGAAAGCAAATAGTTATTTATGAGTTTTTAGCCCCTAATTAAATAGGTAAAGTTTGACGATCTTCATGTTGAAAAAATATTTATAGATTATGTTGACATGAAGCTATTTAAGAAGTTTCAGGTGGATATTAATAATTTTATAAAAAGAGGTCTGTATCACGGGCTATCACCAATTGTTTCATTTTTAGAGTATGATACAAATGACGATCTGTCAGAGATTAGCAGAGTAATTTATAGAATATTATATTGGGTTGGAAAAGAAGTCCTTTTGGTTTTTCACGGTGAAATAAAACTCAATGTATTATAGGCATAAAAAAAAAATATATATATATATATACATATACATATACATATAACGATATTAATTCGAAAACAATTAAAGAAACTGACAACCTATATGAAATGGTGTTGAAGTGGTTCTTGAAGTCTTATTAAACGTAATTACACGAACAAGAATACTTTAAGTGATAGTTTTTAATATTTCGTTCTGTAAAACATAGTAATATTTTAGGGTCCGAAAGCCCCTCCCCTCCAGTAGATCCATCTGTGGGTAGGAGGGGGTGGTTATGATCCTCCCTATCGTACCCTTACTCGGTGCCTATCAGTGTTGCCCTAACGACGAGTCTTGGTCTTGGTCTTGCGCAAGAGTATCGTAACAGTCTTGCAGATACCTATTAGCTTATTGCTATAGACATATTACTGTATTTTTTTAGATAGGAGAAATCTAACTAAGCCTGAATGGAAAATTAGAAGAGCAAAATGCAAAAATATATTGGTTATACCAATTCTTTAGCTGTAGTAACTAATATTGTCAAGTATTAGTAACAATTTTTCCTTAATTTTTATTCAAAAATTCAATTTTCTTTACCACGCTTGGTCTTGGTCTTGGTCTTGGAAAGTGCAAGACCAAGACTGACTTTGGGCAACACTAGCTCTTATGCTACTGAATAGATGATATGTATTATAAAGAAATTATAAATTGTTGAAATTTATGAACAATCAAATTTGATGAATCGATAGTCTAATGAGGGAGGAGGCTCAGTAGTTGTCATACATAAACAATCATGTTTTCATCATTTCTAAGTCCATGAGCAAAATTAACTCAGGAGGGGAGTGTCGAAAAACATACGGAGATAGTCTGATCTTTGACTTATTTATCGATAAAATTAACAAAAATATATGCTTATAAATGAAATCAGGAAATTTAAATAGTTTGTACATTTCACAAACGTACTTACGTAAATCGGCTGAACTTAGCACGACCTGCGAGAGACAGACGAAGAACAGCGAAGCTAACATGTTGTAAGTCAGCTGGGTCTACTGGATATCTTCTCATATATATACTTCCTCCCCACTCCTCAATACCTACCACTGGAGGATCCAGGAGGGGGTCCTTTGAACTGAAGCTCCCCAAAATTAGTATTGTCCAAAATTTGTCTTGGTCTTGCAAGACCAACACCAAGACCGTCTAACTGTTGTAACATCAAGACCAAGACTGTTAAGAAAAATCGTAACGAAAGAAATCCTAACGAATTAATATGTGCTGTTGGGTTATGACGGAATCCGGTGGATGGAAAAATGTGGAAATCTGTTGGTGGTATCGGTATCCAACCTTCGGGTTCGCTAAGTCTTATTATTTTATTTGTCAACACTTTTACAAAAGGTTTTTTTTTTTTTTACTTGAGAGGGGGAGAATCAACTCCAACCACCTCAGGTATGTTCAATTTTAATTACTATTGAATGTTGAGAAAGCTCCTTACAATCCTGGCAGTATTCAGCAGCACCGCTTTCTGAGCTTCCTTTATTACATGAGTTGGGAGGCCCAGCCTGTCAGTAGCTTCCACAGTAGACACCGGTACCAGGCCATTGCTGGAGATCACGACGCCCCTAACGGTTACTTTATTAAGTTTATACAAACTTTTTAACTCAGCTGCTAGACCTTGATATTTCCGAATTTTTTCTTCACAGACTGAGTTAATGTTCCCGTCATTTGGCAGAGCAATATCTATAATTTCAGCCACCTTAATGTTGCCGTCAATTAACACAATATCAGGTCTGTTGTGGATCACGAGATGGTCTGTTATAAACGATTGATTCCAATATAATTTTAAGCCATCTTTCTGGCAAATACCTTTAGGGCAATATTTATAGTAGGGCATCGAGTCGTTTAATTATTTAATTTTAATTATTATTATTAATATTATTATTAATTTGGAGGATAGCAAATTTAGGGCCATAGCAATCTCGCGCACTGCTTGGGTGGGATTTTGTTAAACAATGGCCTTAACATCGCTCGTTTAATTTCATTTGGGCGACCAGACCATTTAGCACCATTGATGTCAAAATTTCCTGAATGAAATTTGGCGAACCAATTTTGACAGGTGCGTTTGGTTAAGGCATCATCCCCATAAACACTGAAAATTTTTCTATTTTAAAATAATACACAAATAAATGCCGATAATGAATGACGTTTTCTTCCGTATTCATAGTGCAATAGCAAATACAATTCAAAGCTAGTTTCAACAACAATTAATCCACCTTAGAGATTAATTCATCAGATAAGAGGTTTATCATAGTGACATAAAAATAAACAGAAAAACCGAAAGGATTTATTTTCCAACCCAATAATTCACAGGCGGATTTACGGGGGAGGAGGGGGGGGGGGCTTTCGGGCCGAAGCTCCCCCAAAATGGTAAAATGTATCCAGGTTTTATGGTAAAAAATATTTTAAAATTATGTCTTAAAGTATTATTGCTCCTTTAATTACATTTAATAGGACTTCAAGAATCACTTAAACACCATTTCATATAAAGTAGTTAGTTTCTTTCTGTTTTCTAAAGTAATTATCGTTATATATATGAAAAAGAAGCTTCCGGGCTGAAGCCCCTTCCCAAAATTAAATCCTGGATTCACTAGTGCAATAATTGTATATATTATAAATGTTATTACTTTGTTAATGTGTCCTTCATCAATAAACATGTAAAAAAAGACCTCTGTTAATTGTTATATTTCCTATTATTAATCCCGTCTTGTTGATGTTTTCGTTTCTATCGTGTAGTCTTAAGCACTTAGTTTTTTTTTTTTTTTTTTCCGTTACCTTCCATGACCACTTAAACATCAATTCAATTCAATCTTTATTTGTTTTAAGGGAAGAGAACTATACAAATGGAGTCTATTTCAAAATAACAAACTATAATAATAATAATTATTATTATTATCCTTACGGATATATAAATTCCTTTTTATACTAAATTACAGATATTACAACACTCTTAAGGGTTAATTAAAAATCATATTCGGTAAAAATCAGACAGTTAAAAGAATTTCAATTATCCAATTAATATAAAATCTAAAATTTTCAACAATATACAATATTTTTAAAAATATTAATACTAAACTATGTTTTAAACTTAAATTAAAAGATTACTCCTATACCCAAGAGAACAAACAAGAAAAAGAACAGGACAGATTACATGCCTATGTGCAATATAGAATTTTCACCATAATATGCAGAGGACAATATTCCAGATTACCCTTTTTATTATTTTATTTATTTAGACATACAATATTCTGTCACAGGGACAATAATTATAATAATAAATGAACACATTCACACCGTATATACAAAAAAATAAAATAAAATTAACAAAGTAAAACAATAACTAAATAATAATAAATAAAAACTATATACAATATAAAATAACCTAAATACAAGTAAATTAAAAACATGAAAATACAATCATACCTATATACAATATATACAATCAGGCGGGGAACCCAAATCCCTGCGCTGCTCTCTCAACCGCCTCACTGGTGCTAAAGCCGGTGGAGTTTGAGCGAGAGCGCTTTAGCTACACACACTCATGTCTTGAGTGGAGAGTCTGGCCATTGCCAGAACTCCAAAATAAATACTATAAAAGATCTCTGGGCCACTGCCGCTTCAACCTTCGAGGAGGGTTGTAGGGATGAGTGGAACTAGATAGGGATTGGGCTAGGGGATTTGGATGATCGATAAGGTTGTGATGGAATTTTGAAAATTTTTCAGGGATAAGGCCAAGGACAAATGGGATATTAAGGTCATGGTGTAGGGTTTTGTTGGTTACATAGAACGGAGCATCGACTATTGTTCGGAGGACTTTGGATTGAAAGGATTGGATACGTTTGATGTTAGAGAACTTTGCTGTCCTCCAAAGTTCAAGTCCGTAGGTCCAAATGGGTTTCAGTATTGTCTTGTAGATCAGTAATTTGTTGTCAATTGAAAGTTGAGATTTTCTGGTCAGTAGTCTGTATAATTGGCCTATCGTCGGATTACCCCAGATTACCCTAACGATTGTCTATAATTTGATATATTTGAGATTAAAAATAATTTTCTCATATCTTCTGCAGTGGTTGGCTTATATGTATCTATCCCGTCAAGATTTTCGATGCCCTGGTAAATTCTTAATCTTAAACTACTGTAAATTGGCTATTTACAATAATATATGATTAAGTGTTTCGTTTTCTTTTGTGTTGCACATTTTGCACTCAAGTTGTGGAGTAATTTTCACAATTTTATTATTAACAGAAATCTTCATTATATATTTTCCCGAGAGTCGGATCTGCATTAATGGTTTCGTATATCTGAAATTAGTCGGCATCAACAAATACTGGTGAATCTGATCATTAAGGAAAAGGTTTAAATGTTCACTATAAGATGAGTTATGCAATGTTATCCTATCTCCGTCCTGCAAATATTGTTTGTATTTATTTAATATTTGTTCTAATTATGGCTGAGTTGGATTCATAAACTAGGTTTCCTTCTCCAATAGTACTTAAATATCATTTTATATAGTTTATTTTTTTTCTCTAGAAATTTCAGAATAAATCTTAAATCCTTTATTGTTCTCTTTTGAGAAACAGTATTTTGTGATGCTTGCACAGAACCAGATTTTAAATTTATATTTGATTTACTTTGCGCAATACCGTTGAAAATCTGTTTTCAGATACAAGAATCTGTAGTTGATCAACATCATATACCCATCAATGAGTTGTCAACATTTTGTATCTTGCACTGTACACATTTCATTTCTGCATTAAGCGTAATTTCTCAGGTTAGGTGGTATTTAAACATCTCGATATTTTAAAAAGGAAGATAAAAACCAACAGTAATATCAACAATATTACTGTCATTAGATATAAATACTTAACAGTTCATTAAAAATAATAGCAGCAACATCAAGCTAAAATAAAACTACAGCTGAAACAAGGACTCGGGCAATCAGCAACGATTCACGATGACGTCAACACAATGTGGGATATCCAATTTGCTTCATTAATATTAAATCTTAAAATTTCTACCTCCTTGGATCCAACAGTAACATCAAAACAGTAGAGTACCTTACGAGGATTTTTTCAAACTTTTAGTCACATTTGGACATCAATTTTTTCGAGAAAAAGTTTAGTGAAACAATGAATTTTTCGACTATATTTTAGTAAGTTATTAAGTTGAACAAATTAATTATAAACTTAACCATAGATATGACAAATAGAAAATTATATCTTCCGTATATTGCCAAAAGTCAATAAGTACATTTTTGATAACTTTCAAATATGCTTTTATGAATTTCGAATTCATATATCGTTACAAAAACACTGTAAGCTCATAAAAATGACCATATTATAGATCAATTATATTTACAAGTGCACATTTTTTTTTTTAAATTTCATAAAAGAAACATCATTAAAAGTTCTTAATTATTTAAATTCTTCTTTATGCTTTTAAGTTATATAATATTCTCTATTTTCGGCAATAAAAACTTCCAGGTATACAATAATTGTTTTATTTGTTGTTTTACATGTTACGTTGACGTTTTGGGTAAATTATTGCCATCTTCAAATCTTAAAATTTCATATTTTCATAGCTATTCATGGTTAAAGTATGATGTGCTCCTTTGCCATGTTTTGAAATTTATGTTATAAATAAAATAAAATATAGTTTTACTATCTGGAGCATCAACATTCCTAGCACTAATAATTGTTGAAGTTCCAGATAGTGCAACTATATTTTATTTATAACATAAATTTCAAAACATTACAAAGGAGCACACTACGTTTCAGCCATGAATCGTTATGAAAATATGGAATTTTAAGTTTTAATTTAAGTGGAGTTTTAAGAAAAATAGAAATAAATAAATTGCAACGATTATTTAACCGATGTATAATTAAATGAAAATAATTGTTAAGATGATGGAGTAAATAAATAAATAAAAGAGTAAAATGTAAAAATAAAAACAGAACCACAAAAAAACGATGTATAAAGAAAAATAAATTCTTATTGCATAAT